AAATTGTTCATGGGGCATAGAGTAACTGAGAGAATCATCCAAGCAGAGATATGTTTGAAGTGTATTTTTCCAGTTTGGTTTTCCTTGAGAAAACTGATATCGATACAGCATTGCAACCCAGAATTTTTTAGATTAATTTCTTTCCAAGATGAAATTTCAGTTTTCTACTTCCAGTAAGATGCCTTTTATTACAGAGCAATATATTTTCTGTCTGTCTCACTGGGTGTTTTTAGGCCTTCATCATCAGGGCACCTGAGCAGACAGRACACTTCTCTTGATTTGCTCCAAGTAAGCTGGATTTAATAGCAGCAAAAACAGTTCAGCCACCTTGGCAAAAATTGAAAGCCCTGATGCAAAGCACATAAAACGACTGAGCTGTTCTGTGATCATTTATCTTCATTTCCTTCTTCTTTTTCTTCATGGTACATGCCGTGGATTCACAGCCAATCAGCAAGTGGTGGTAGAGGAAATGCTGCACAACTTGGATTTCTGTGATATTTTGGTCATTGGGGCAGAACTGGACCCTGAACAAGARTGTTTAGAGCTGGATCGTGCACAGCTTCAAGGAAAACATCTAGATGCCACCAATTCCACTGCAGGATATTCGATCTATGGTAAGTTCATGAAATTTGCTTTCTCTTATTTTGTCACATCAATGATATATTGGACTGAAAGTTCTAAAATGTATGAAATTAGGCAGCAATCTGTGCTTTAGTAGGYATAAAAATATCCCAAGAGTGACTGTATCTTAAAAAGTAGAGTTGCTTCTTGATCTCTGGCTGTGCTGTGTTTGCCCTTTGGGATCTCAGCATCCCTCCTGCTACTCCCCAAGTGAGGGAAATGGCATCASTGCTTCCTTTAGATGTGGGATTCCTGTGGAGCATGGGAATGAGGGGATTCCACAGTGATCCTGTATAACACTGGTACATTGGCTATCTTCTTCTGATCACTGAGTAATTTATTCTGTACCTTTGCTGTTGTATTTATCCCTCTCTTTTTGGCACCTACATCCAAGTCCCCAAAGTATTCTGACATGATGGAGTGTCAGGGAGCATTTGATGCCCTGCCATCAGTTCCAGTTCCAGACCCTTGTGCCCAGTTCCCTGTTTTGTGTGGGCAGTTGCTTTGTTCTGTGCTGCCCAGAGCAGTGTCCCTGCTGTCCCTGAGGCTGTCCCTGTTCCCTCCCACCCTGCAGGAGTGGACAGCATGTTCAGCTACGAGCAGGTGCTGCGCCAGCTCCGCTACCGCAACTGGGGCACCTCGGCCACCTCGGACAGGAAGTTCAGGGTCAAGTGCTCGGAGCTCAACGGGCGTTACACCAGCAATGAGTTCAACCTGGAGGTRAGCAATGAGTTCAGCCTGGAGGCTGAATAATGAGTGAGTTGTGTTTACTGACCTGGCACCAGGTAAGGATGGGAAATTGCAGGATGTGCTTAGCAGTAGGGTCAAAACTTAATAAATGTTTGTAAAAATAATTAATAACTTTTAATAAAGTTAACAATTATTTCATAATTTTATGGATAGATAATGTCTAAAAGCTGTTTAGTGTAGTGASAYGAAAACCTRTTTTTTTTACCCAAACAASCAAATCAAAATAGTCCTGTTCTGTGCTTCATAGTCAACAGCCAGAGAGGTTAGAATGCATTTTTCATGTTAKAAATTAGAAATATATTAAGCTGTGTATTTTTTACCAGCATAAAAAAGAGTCCATTTTTAAGTGACGTTTATAGTACATTAAGTTCTATATAATAATATTCCTATCTACTGATGAACTTTGTAGTCCAGGCATGGAGTATGAAACACTTTCTAGTATCTGATCTCTTATTTTTCTCTTGTCCCAGGTTAATATTCTACACAGCTCCAACTCCAACTTCATGGACCATGTAAATCACATGCTAGTCCAACCCCAATTTCTCCAATCTGTTCAGCACCCYGAAGGGAGTGTGAGTGCAGTTCACAACTCAGGTAAGTGACACCTTCACAGAGACTGCTCGCAGTGATTCAGGTGTGTCAGTGTTTCCCTTGTGCATCAGCCTGCTCAGCAGACAAAAGCCCTGAGGTCCTTTGTTTCAGCTTCTAAAACCTCCCAGAGATCACTGCACTGGTGTGAAAGAAGGAAACATTGAATTCTGTTCTGTCTAAGAACGTACTTGGTAGTTAAAACTTGGTATCCTTTTTCAAGTCTTCATTAATGGCTTTGTACTCTGACCCCCACAGTTCAGAAAATGTCTTGTTTTTAGTATTGAATGGTATGAAGGGTAATATTTATGCTCATGTGTGCTCATCTGTATTTCTGTAGCATATTAATTTCTACCCATTCCTTTCTAAACAAAAGGAAGRAATGGTGTTATTTTTTAAATATATAATTGCTGCATTGCCTCTGTTAGCTGCTGTCAAGGCCTCAGTCTGGGCTCTCTGGAGTGAMGTTAGATTCACCTAATTACATGCAGCAGGAATTCGGGTATATTAAATATAGAATTTAAATTTCATTTTTAATATGAGTTAAAATATATACCCAAATCTGAAACCTTTTCAGCGTAGTTAAATCCAGGGCAAAGATACTTGTTTAAATGTTGGATTCTGAAATCCTTTTAGCTGAATGATACATATGTAAAGAAGTAGRGCTGATGTACAGTGTAAGCAGTTATAAGTACATACAGATGTGGTTAGAAAATTACTACATTTTTCTTTATACTTGTACAGGCAGTTCATGAAAATGAAATGGAATTTATAATTGATAAATTACTTTGAACTATTTTTCTTCTTTAATATTGTTTTGATTTTAGGCCTCCATTCTTGTAGGCAGGGCAAGAKAATAAAATGGGTTATGGAATGGGTTCTACTACAGTTCCTGGAACTGCAGTACCTCGGGGTACATGGAAAGGGGCAGCATTTCTCCATTAACCCAGTTATGTTGCTGAGCATTTGTAATACTTCAGAGAGATTTCTTCCTATGACTGGAGAGACAGGGGCTTCTCAGAGTGCAACCAAAACAGTGAGGAAAAATATCTTGAATCTTCAAGAGTCTCCCAGGAGGGTTGTAACACAGGCAGATAAAGTGGCAATGTATTGTTTTATGTCTTAGTGACTGAGATTCAAATCACAAGTGTTTCAAACCTTTGGAAATATAAGCTTTAAGATGGACATTTTGTCATGAGTGAGGTTAAGGCCTCAGCTGTGATCAGAAGGGGTCAATATGCAGGTGAGACAACAGAATGTTACTGCAAAACCACTTCTAAACTAATTGGTTCTGCACTGATTGGCTRCTTGTCTTTTGTAGTTAGTGGCTCAAAGAGCAAAAGGTGGGCATGTTCACTTTTTAGTTAGGATTTACCATCCTTRGGATATCTGTGAGCACCATTTGTGTTTGCTCCACCTTAGTGGGTGGGCACTGCCAACACTTCCTGCCGTCCCAGACACACAGCAGATGTCTGTCCTGATTCTCTCTCCAAAGAAAGGTGCTGTGGGTTGCAAACTGACAAGGTATTTAGTGAGGTTTAGGTGACTTGTCCTACAAATCTAAGTCCATTCCGTTTCCCACCCTTTGTCCCAGTTGTTCCCAGCGTGGCCACGATCGTTATCATCATCTGTGTGAGCATCCTGGTTTTTGTCATTACGCTGGGCGTGTACCGGATCCGCACGGCCCATCAGCACAGCTCTGGGGAGCACGAGGCGGGCAAGGACAGCGAGATGGACTGGGATGACTCTGCCCTCACCATCACYGTCAACCCCATGGAGGTATGAGCAGGGCACAGCGCTGTGTCCTGGCACTGCAGGGGTCACTGCAAGGGCTGGGGGGCTCTGTTCAGTTGTGTGTTGGCACACTCAGGACACATCTCAGTTCTCAGCTCTACCCACTGTGATAAGATGTAATTCAGAACTGCAGATTTGTTGTCATATATTGTCATGGTGAAAAATTTCACTTCCACTCCATCTGCTCTTCCACATCCATGTCTGTTTGTAGGGGCCCAAAATGATRCAGTTTGGTTTTAACCTTTTAATGTAAGCACTTTCACACTAAAAGGAGCGGGAAATCATTAGCAGTTTAAGMAAACTGATGTTGAAGGTTTAAATTTTAGCAGTGTGACTAAGAGATTGCTTATTAGCATTCCATTTTTCTTACAGTAGTTTGTGAACGCTACCAGCTTGTATGAGATTTGATGCCTAATAATCACCCGATGATGGAAGCAGATTTCCCCAGCATGTTAGCATTTCTAAAAGTAGACTAAATGCTCATTTGAGACAGCMACTGGCTGGCAAGACCTTTCTGCTACTGTGTCTCTTCTCATTTCTTTAAATATATTGTAGAAATATGAAAAGCCACACCAGGCAGAAGAGGAGAGTGAGGAAGAAGACATAGAYGATGAAGAGGAAGACACAACCAGTGCTGAATCAGATGACAGTGARGAGGATGAAGAGGAGGAAGAGGAGGAGGAAGTGATTGTCCAAAAGGGAGACAAACAGAATGCCACCAGGCAAGAGCAGTTGGAGTGGGATGATTCAACACTCCCGTACTAACAAACACCCTTCCAGCCACAGCTCTTTTGTAACAACCAATACAATGTTTTTGCAGAGTCTATGAAATCATTGACAGGATTTGAACTTCTGCTTGCCTATAACTGTTTTGCCTAAAATGATCTTGTTGTAGTAATTGATAAAAATAGAACTGACCCTTTTCTTACAAAGCCTGGGGAAAACGTGGTACGAAGCTGCTGGCACACCCAGTAATAAAGTGATCCAGAACTCGATCGGTTAGCAAGCGTAGTTCTCCATTTCCTGTTTCTACCCTGCAGATGTGTGACAGAAGTCCTGTCACTCGATCCATAGAGGTTTTTGCCTTTGCTAATTTTTTCACACGGGAGATTTGAAGATTTGCTTCTGTGGGTCCAAATASCAGTTGCCATCTAACTTCACATTCTTACAGGTGTAAAAAACATAATCCACCTCCAGACTGGGGCAGGGCTTTAGTGCTGCAGGGGACAGAGGCTCAATTCCATCTGTCATCTCGTCCTGCCTTTTGGATGTTAACTGTCTTTTACAAGGGAATACCTAGGACTTGACAGGGGATGCATGTGTGCCTATGTAGAAGTGGACAGTGTATTTTTTTTAGGCATGCTGTCACACCCTCAGGAGAGGGATTTTTATCCAACCTACTGATAGAAATTTAAATGAGTTTAAAAAAAAAAACAGCGACAACAAGGGGGGTGCTGAAGGTTACCAAAAAAATAATCCCCAGCTCGTTCTGTGTCCAAGGATTGAGTAATATGATCTTATGCAAACTGTAAATTCTAATGGGATTGATTCACTGAAAATCTGTAGAGCTGCTCATTAGTTATGGATTGAGCAATTTGCWGCAAATCGATGCTTTAAACCGTCTGTCTCATGGAATCATTAGCTTGCTGCAGCATCTTACTGAACTAGTGGAAAATAAGTGACCCCATTATTCCAGAGCTATGTATGGCTGGGATTTAAACAATTATTTTAGATGAGGAAAATGTTCCCTTTTGCTTAGTGAATGCCAGCTGGAATTCCTGTCTGACTGTATTCTATAAAAACATTATGCCCTATTTCTTCTGTACCCCTGCCTGCCTGTAGTGTACAAGRAAAAGGAACAGCACTGTGAGCTCTCTTCTGTGCTCATAATTCTCCCTTATTTCTTCTTCCTGAAGCCATTAATGTTGAGAAAAGGTTTTATAAAGTAGACAAGGAAAAAGAAAACCTAGGTGGAACCAAAATAGCTGAAAACAAAACCTAAATTCTTAAGAGGTTGAGAGAGTATTTTAGTTTGTTATGGTAACACAGCATATTTTTCTTAAACACTGTTTAAAAAGAAAAAAAAAAAAGAAAAAAGCAGAGCTACATATACAACGTGTTGATAAGTCTGTGTGGTGTGGTTTTTGTCCCCTTTCCTTAAGTACCTTTGCATCTTCAACTGCTCTGCTTACCAGATGCTGCAGCACTTGCTAGGGTAGCTGCTCTAATGCATAGAAACAAAACAATGACATGGAGGTGAATGCTGCTTCGTGGCTTGTCTGAGGTTTTCTCCTGAGTATTTTGTTTTCTTTGCAATTTCATCTTTGACTTTTGCTTTTGTAATTTGCTGTTTAAAATGAGCTGCTGCCTCTTCTCCACTCTTGCAGTCAGTCTCGCCCAACAGGACCTTCCTGAGCACCCTCAGTGGTGGTTGATGTTGCAAAGGGTACTTGGAGCAATCTTGAGGGTATCCTCCTCCCTCAATAATAGATTATTAACAGCTCCTGAGTGTCTTGGGATCTCGGGAATATATGTGTGTGGGGGGGGTTCTTTTAATTCCAGTTTCTGCATTTGATAGCTGAAGGGAAATACTGACAGCAGCTAGGCCTTGTAGTTTAATAACTAGAAAGTGAATTAAAAGAAATCTATCTTAATTTTAAAATTAGAGATATTCATGCTTTTATTTGTTGTGCCAGCAGTCATGCTGTCACATGATTGTTAAGACTGGCAACACAGGAGTTTTCTTTTGCTATCAATCCTGTTTCATTTTATTCTCTCAAATGTATTAAACCTAGCAGACTATTTGCAGAATCAAACCCACATAAGTACATTTTATCTGCAGGAATAACAACTGTAAAAATKTCCACAATTTCTGTTTAATACAAAATTAATATTTCTGAATATCTTGAACAAAAATGTTATGTTAGATCATTTCCTACCATCCTAGTATCCTAGATCTTTTCCTAGTTTTTATTTTTTTTTAGTGACATGAAGCAGGCTCTTCATGATGCTTGTTATCAGCACATATCAGCAATTCTGCTCMGAAAAAAAATATTAAATTTAATGTAGATATTTAAAAGTCAATTTCAGATTTAAAACTGGACTTAAATTATTTTTAAGTTTATGTTATTCTTGATTATTATTATTATTATTGTTGTTATAGCAAACATTAGGGCAACTTGAAAACAGCAATTTACAACCTTATTGATAGCCTTTAATTCTTTTTATGTTTGTGAATTCATCAGTGTGTTTCTCCATCTAATAGAATTCTTTCTTTTTGTTACTGGAAGCAAATCTTTTCAGTTTGTACTCGTACATTACACAAGAAGCAAACAAAGTATTTTCTCTACTGTAAATAAACCTACATTTTTAAACCTAAGCAAAGTAATACAGGCATGTGTGTTATCACTAAAGTTTGGTTTGCAGTAAGATATTCAGCAAACTAAAATGTATCACTGTACTTAYTTTAGATTACTCATTGGAATGCATTACGCAGCATTTTTCATTCAAATAAATAGAAACATCCTTTTCACAAGATGGTAGTGAGAATGAGATACTTCTTCACAAAATGGGCCTAGAATATTTGTATAGCACTAACAGCAATGGCTTCCTGAGCAAAACTGCTAATAGAAAATCAGAGAAATATCACTTTTTCTAAAATAATTTTAGCAGTCTTTCCTTCCCTCCAAGCAATTATTTTTTGATGTAACCTAATTGCTTAAAAGCCAACCAGAAAATATACATATAGACATGCAAACATACACACATGGGTTTTTTTTTCCCCTAATCAAAAGCCAAAATTCTCTCCTCCCTGAAAAAAAAAAACAAACCCAAAAAACAGTTAGAATTGTAAAACCATTCAGGTTGGAAAAGACCTCTAAGATCGTTGAGCACTGCCAAGTCCACCACTAACCAATGTCCCCAAGTGCCACATCCACATGGCTTTAAATTCCCCACTGTATGCTCCAATCCCTGATAATCCTTGCAATGAGGAAATTCTCCCTCATATCCCATCCAAACCTCCCAGCACAAGTTGAGGCTGTTTCCCCTTGTGCTGTCACTTGGGGAATGAACCAACTCCCACCTGCTCAGAGCCTCCTCCCAGGGAGTTGTAGGGAGTGAAAAGGCCCCTCCTGAGCCTCCTTTTGTCCACCCTCAGCTGCTCCTCCTCAGCCTTGTGCTCCACACCCTTCTCTGCACTCACCACAAAACAGACATTGAGAGGCTGGAGTGAGGTGGCTTTTTTACAGTAGCAATAAACAAGAGTACTCAAAGAAACCAGTTCTGAAGAAGTACCTACTCCATGGCATCAGGAGGCCAGAGGTGATGGCAGAGGTCTAAAATGACATCCCATCAATGATGCCTTTAAATGTTTGAAATTCTAATTCTAGTTGTGATTAATAGCTCTCATTTCTCTTTTCACYTCTACCCTCTCCACAGGTGTTTTATCTTTCCTAGTAAATCTTATGATGCACAGTTGTTGAGATTAATCTCAATATTTACKGCACTGGCTGACACCAGTTCAAATTAGAAATAGACATGTAGGGTTCGTGACATTTTTCATGTTAATTAGAATAAACTGATGCTCTTTGTTCATTCAAGCAGGTGCTAGCACCTTGCAGTGGTGGTGGGGCTGTTTTTTACCCTGTTAAATCCAGAGGCTATGGGGAGGTGCAGTTTATGTTCCTGTCTGCCATGTGGGGGTGCTGAGCTTGCTGAGCACCTGTGCACCATCCTCACTTCATTCTGGGAGAAAATAAGACTTAGAAAAGATCAGAGGATTATAAAGTTCCTCCTGTGGGGATGAAATCCTCTATCTCCATTGCTGGAGTTGTCCCTGCCTGACCCTAAAGTGAAAATGCAGCCATGGGAGCTCTGCCCCAGGTGAAGGATGGGCAGAGGGTGATGCAGGAGCAGCCCTTACTCCAGTGTARCAAAGCCTTTGGAGCCTGCACCTCCTTTGTGTCTCAGCTGTCTCCTTGCCCAGCTGTGACCTCAGGAGCAGCTTTAATCTCTTACCTGGTAGGAGTTCCAGGGATGCTACACGGCCTCTTCTCAAAGGTTTGGTGCCAGCACACTCAGCACTCCATCTCCACAGAACAGCACAACAGACTGTACTGTGGGGGCAGCAGGTAAAGGTCTGGTGGGATGAACTGCTCCTGGTGTCCTGGAATATAAATTATAATAACAAGATTAAGGATGTTTGCAAAAAGAAATGGATACTCAGAGGAGAGGAAATAAAACCACAAGTACATCTCCTCTAAGGGGCTTCCTCTTCCCTTAATTCACACCTGCTGACCAGAATAAGTATCTCTAAAACAGGATATCCCCAGTCTCAGCAGGAATATCAGTGATAACATCACTGAATATGAATTGTGGAAATATTTGGGGGAAGCTGGATGGATGCAGTAGCCTAGTCTAGACTTTTGACAACAGGTCTTGGGATTAATCCACCAYCCAGTAGCTGCTGACCCTTATGGAACAGCTGCTTAAGGCAGTTCCACACCAGCTGGGCAAATCTAAGGAGATAGGAGAAAAAAAAAAAACAAACAAATACAAAAAAAACAGCTATGAGAAAGATTGCCAAAGACATCAAACCATCCTCTAAGTCAGTGAATTTGCTCCTGCTGATTGTACACAGTGCTGTGCTATATAAATATAATGTCCCTCCTGCTCGCCCCAGTATCACAGCCATAGAGTGGCGTTAGGTTTGTCCCTGTCAGGCACAGCTGAGGAAGCTGCCAGGCCTTGTTCCTGCACAGCCCCACTGCCCCCCATCCTGCAGAGCTCACAGTGTTCCAGTGCCCTGCAAACAGCCACAGGAGCAGCAGCCAGCCCAGCCCTCAAAGGTGTTCCCAAAGGAACCAACACTCCCCTACACCAAATCATGCAACACTTTGTAATGCAAAAGAAACACTYTTTACAACACCCAGAAGCTCTGATCCTGTACAGTGTTTGTACATTTGGGTCAAGTGTTTTTGTGTTGGTTTTTTTTAATAAAGAAATGTGTAACAAGCAGTGTGGGGAGTGGTGTAGCTGAAATGAATCAGGTTCCCTAACACTGCATTAGGCATTGTGTATCCAATGATCAGACTTTTGGGTGTTAGCCTCTCCTGGTATCCAGTTTCTGTTTTGTTAGCATGGAGAATAAAGGCATAAAGAATAAAGGTGAACCWCTAAAGCTACAGCAGAGCAAAATTCATACTCTCTTAACAAACCCAATCTCAAGAAATATTTCTGCTAAATATATCCGGAAAATTAYTCCAGTGATGTCTCAGAAAGTTATTTCATCACCTTGACAGGATTAGCAAGGTTCAAGCCTGCTATGTTTTTTTTTAGTTTTATTTTTCTGTGAAGGAGAAATGACCATAAAATAAAAACAGTCAATTTGAACAGTGCAAAAGTGAAAGGGGAGCAAGGGCTTTAATTTCATAAGCCTGTGACATAGGGGGTTAAAATAATAAACAGTTGTAGCCCTTATTATTGAAATTTAGCAGAATTAAAGTAATCCAGGAAGWTTTGTACATTYGTAATTTCATTCCTGGTGATGAAARRGCACWCACCAGGGCAGGTRACCTTTTTCCCTGGAGGCATTTTGCTGCCTTTGGAGCAGGTATTGGCTGTGGCTCACCCRTTATGGTTTCCATGTCCCTGCTGGCAATAGCAGTGCTGCTGGCATCCTTGGGAAAGCTGGGAGGGCTGTTGATGAGCAGCCCTGTGAAAGAGCTTGGTGGTGCTGTGGTTCAATAATTCTCTGCAGCTCTGCTCACAGCTCTCCATTGTGCAGCACTCCAAACACGTGCAGAGGAATGACACCATGGTCACAGTCAAGAGCTTTGGGCTGCTGCTTCATTAGTTATTGCCTGGAAAGAAACTCTCTGAGCAGCGTGAAGTGCTGCAAACAGTTGAAACAGAGTTCAGGAAAAGCCCTCATTCTTATTTTCAGCACTTACTCRTGGGGAAATTGTGCATTCGTCAGCTGCTGAAGCTACATGGCCATAGATTGTCACTATTTATGTCTGTGCTGAGAACAAAGAAACAGCAGAATTTTTTTCCCTGTTAAGTGCATCGTACAATAAAAGTTCAGCTTTCCCTGGGCGAGGTGCACAAAGCCTGCAAAGAGAAGCTGTCTCCAAATAGGGAACAAAGATTTTACAGYATATTCCGTCCTCGTACTTTTAGAAACCCAGAAAATTTAATGGGAGTAAAATGCTTTTCTGCAGCCCTACCTATTCCTTTTGTATAAATCTGGATACAGTCTTGAGTTTTCAGAGTTTTTTAACTTCCTGACTGGGTATAAAGTTCTTTTAGGTGTCTTTTGGTGTACTAACCCATTTGTTATTTTTGGCTGAAGGTTTCAGGACATACTAAGGGGAAAAAAAAATCCCAAAGTTGCTAAAATTACAATGTCTTTTTTTTCTACTCCTGCCTCCCCTAAATATATAAACAGATACAAAAGACTTGATCAGACAACCCTGACCAATTCTGTGACTACAATCACATTTCAAACCATTATGGAAATTGGCAATAAATCCTTGCCT